CCCCACTGACCACCAGCACAGAGGCGCAATGTTCCCCCACTGACCACCAGCACAGAGGGCAATGTTCCACTGACCACCAGCACAGAGGCACAATGTTCCACTGACCACCAGCACAGAGGGGCGCAATGTTCCACTGACCACCAGCACAGAGGCGCAATGTTCCACTGACCACCAGCACAGAGAGGCAATGTTCCACTGACCACCAGCACAGAGCCGCAATGTTCCACTGACCACCAACACAGAGGGGCAATGTTCCACTGACCACCAGCACAGAGGAGAAATGTTCCACTGACCACAAGCACAAGGACAATGTTCCACTGACCACCAGCACAGAGAGGCAATGTTCCACTGACACCAAGCACAGAGGCGCAATGTTCCCCACTGACCACCAGCACAGAGCAGCAATGTTCCACTGACCACCAGCACAGAAAGGGGCAATGTTCCACTGACCACCAGCACAGAGGAGCAAAGTTCCACTGACCACCAGCACAGAAAGCAATGTTCCACTGACCACTGGCACAGAGGGGAAATGTTCCACTGACCACCGGCACAGAGAGGCAATGTTCCACTGACCACCAGCACAGAGGTGCAATGTTCCACTGACCACCAGCACAGAGGGGAAATGTTCCACTGACCACCAGAAAAGGCGCAATGTCCCCACTGACCACCAGCACAGAGGGCAATGTTCCACTGACCACCAGCACAGAGGCGCAATGTTCCACTGACCACCAGCACAGGGGCGCAATGTTCCACTGACCACCAGCACAGAGGGCAAAGTTCCACTGACCACCAGCACAGGGGCAATTGTTCCACTGACCATCAGCACAGGGGGCAAAGTTCCACTGACCACCAGCACAGGGCGCATTGTTCCACTGACCACCAGCACAGGGGGCAAAGTTCCACTGACCACAAGCACAGAGGGGCAAAGTTCCACTGACCACAAGCACACAAGGGGCAAAGTTCCACTGACCACCAGCACAGAGGGGCAAATTTCCCCACTGACCACCAGCACAGAGGGGCATTGTCTCCACTGACCACCAGCACAGGGGCAAAGTTCCACTGACCACCAGCACAGGGAGCAATGTTCCACTGACCACCAGCACAGAAGGGGGATTGTTCCACTGACCACCAGCACACAGGGCGCAATGTTCCACTGACCACCAGCACAGAGGGGCAATTGGTCCCCACTGACCACCAGGACAGGGCGCATTGTTCCCCACTGACCACCAGCACAGGAGACAATGTTCCACTGACCACCACACAGAGGGGCAAAGTTCCCCACTGACCACCCACACAGGGCGCGATTGGTCCCCACTGACCACCAAGGCACAGAAGGGCGCGAATGTCCCCCCACTGACCACCAGCACAGGGGGCAATGTCCCCACTGACCACCAGGACAGGGGGGCAATTGTCCCCACTGACACCAAGGACAGGGGGGCATTGGTCCCCACTGACACCACACAGGGCGCGATTGGTCCCCACTGACACCAGCACAGGGGGCATTGTTCCCCACTGACCACCAGCACAGAGGGCGCGATTGGTCCCCACTGACACCAGCACAGAGGCGCATTGTCCCCACTGACCACCAGCACAGGGCGCAATGTCCCCACTGACCACCAGCACAGGGGCAAAGTTCCACTGACCACCAGCACAGGGCGCAATTGTCCCCACTGACCACCAGCACAGAGGGGCAAAGTTCCACTGACCACAAGCACAGAGGGGCAAAGTCCCCACTGACACCAAGCACAGAGCGCGATTGTTCCACTGACACCAGCACAAGGAGAGGCAAAATTCCACTGACTGACACCAGGACAGGGGATTGTCCCCACTGACCACCAGCACAGAGGGGCAATGCTCTACTGACCACCAGCACAAGGGGACAAAGTTCCACTGACCACCAGCACAGAGGCGCATTGTTCCCCACTGACCACCAGCACAGAGGCGCATTGTTCCCCACTGACCACCAGCACAGGGGGAATGTTCCCCACTGACCACCAGCACAGGAGCAATTGGTCCCCACTGACACCCAGCACAGAGGGGCAATGTTCCCCACTGACCACCAGGACAGGGGGGCAATGTCCCCACTGACCACCAGCACAGAGCGCAATGTCCCCACTGACCACCAGCACAGAGGACAATGTTCCACTGACCACCAGAACAGGGGGGCAATGTTCCACTGACCACCAGCACAGGGGCAATGAGTCCCCACTGACCACCAGCACAGGGCGCAATTGTTCCCCACTGACACCACCAGCACAGGGGCGATTGTCCCCACTGACACCAGGCACAGAGGGGCGATTGTCCCCACTGACACCAAGGACAGGGGGGCGATTGTTCCCCACTGACACCAAGGACAGGGCAATGTTCCACTGACCACCACACAGAGCCGCAATGTTCCACTGACCACCAGCACTGACCGGCCATGCAAACATTCAGACAAGTCGCGGTTCATGACGTCATCACCTGGCGCCGCTACTCAATTCCCAGCATGCACATTGGCCCCTATGTGAGCCCCAATCCGATACTTGGCGCCTGGGGCGATGCTGGGGCGACTTGGATAACATGCCGACAGAGAAGGGGCTGCGACACGCATGTCATATGTCCGCCACCACTGGTCTTGGGTGTCTGCTTTCAGAAATTTTTTTTTTTTTGGGGGGGGGGTTATGTAATCCTCAGGCCTAAAATTATTTTTTTAAACGTGCACGTAAAACCGCTCTGGCAGTGACAGGGTTAAAGTAACTTTCTAGCAAAAAAAATTGCAGATATTAAAATAATAATAATAATAATTAAAAAAATTCCCTTAGACAAATGGAATCCAAAAATGTGCTCCGGTCCCGGGTCCATGATCGGCTAAAATGTAGTTATTAACCTCTTCCCGTCCCCCATGTATATAAACGGCCGGACGGTGGCAGTGCAGGGGCGGGTTCATAAACGGCGCCCACCATTTTAGCCTGTGCACACTCCCTGGGAGCACGCATCACCGCGATCTGGTGTCCGCTGTGTTCGGAGGACACAGCGGAACACCGATCGCTGTACAGGACCTCTGTGCGAGGTCCCGATCATGTGATCACTGATTGGCCAATCAGTGATCACATGAATAGTAATAAGCAAGATGTCACTTCTGATATCATTGCTTACTACGTGTGAAATATGTGAATCACAGAGATCACATGGTACAGGGCCATTCACAACAGCCTTGTACCATGTGACAAGCTGTGACCAATCACAGCTCCGTCAGTATTCTCAATGGCTGCAGGAATGCAGCCAGAGAGGAAAAATTATTGCTTTTACAGCCTTTATGGGTATAAAAGCAATCAGTGTAAGAAAAAAAAAAAAAATCTTCATCACCCCCCACAAGTAGGGTGACACTGTACTGCTAGGGTGACAGTACGTAAAAAAACCCCCATAAATAATATAAAAAAAAGAAAATGAAAATGTAAAAAAAGTCTGAAAAATTATAATTTTTAGTTATAAACTAATTTGGGTTATTTTTTTTTTACTAAAAAGATAACTGAATACATTTTGGCCAAGATTTATGAAGAAAGATTATTTATTTGCAAAATGTTATAAAAAAAACGCTCTTTTTTCAAAATTTTTGGACTTTTTCATTTATAGAGCAAAATATAAAAATAAAAAAATCCCAGTGGTGAATAAATACTGCCAAAATAAAGTTTTATCTGTCTAAAAAAAATGCTAAAAAGTTCATCTGGGTACAGTGTTGCATGACCGCGCAATTGTCATTCAAAGTGTGACAGCGCTGAAAGCTGAAAATTGGCCTGGGGGGGAAGGGAGTGAAAGTGTCCGGACTGGAAGGGGGTGAAAGTGTCCGGACTGGAAGGGGGGGAAGTGTCCGGACTGGAAGGGGGGGAAAGTGTCCGGACTGGAATGGAATGGGGGGAAGTGTCCGGACTGGAAGGGGGAAGTGGGGGGAAGTGTCCGGACTGGAAGGGGGTGAAAGTGTCCGGACTGGAAGGAGGTGAAAGTGTCCGGACTGGAAGGGGGTGAAAGTGTCCAGACTGGAAGGGGTGGAAAGTGTCTGGACTGGAAGGGGGTGAAAGTGTCCGGACTGGAAGGGGTGGAAAGTGTCCGGACTGGAAGGGGGGAAAGTGTCTGGACTGGAAGGGGGTGAAAGTGTCCAGACTGGAAGGGTGGAAAGTGTCTGGACTGGAAGGGGGGAAAGTGTCTGGACTGGAAGGGGGTGAAAGTGTCTGGACTGGAAGGGGGTGAAAGTGTCCGGACTGGAAGGGGGGAAAGTGTCCGGACTGGAAGGGGGGGAAAGTGTCCGGACTGGAAGGGGTGGAAAGTGTCTGGACTGGAAGGGGGGAAAGTGTCCGGACTGGAAGGGGAAAAGTGTCTGGACTGGAAGGGGGTGTGAAAGTGTCCGGACTGGAAGGGGGTGAAAGTGTCCGGACTGGAAGGGGGTGAAAGTGTCCGGACTGGAAGGGGGGGGGAAAGTGTCGGGACTGGAAGGAGGGGAAAGTGTCCGGACTGGAAGGGGTGAAAGTGTCCGGACTGGAAGGGGAGGAAAGTGTCTGGACTGGAAGGAGGTGAAAGTGTCCGGACTGGAAGAGGGTGAAAGTGTCCGGACTGGAAGGGGTGGAAAGTGTCTGGACTGGAAGGGGGAAAGTGTCTGGACTGGAAGGGGGTGAAAGTGTCCGGACTGGAAGGGGGGGAAAGTGTCCGGACTGGAAGGGGTGGAAAGTGTCTGGACTGGAAGGGGGGAAAGTGTCCGGACTGAAAGGGGGGAAAGTGTCCGGACTGGAAGGGGGGGGAAAGTGTCCGGACTGGAAGGGGGGGAACGTGTCCGGACTGGAAGGGGGAAAGTGTCCGGACTGGAAGGGGCGTGAAAGTGTCCGGACTGGAAGGGGCGTGAAAGTGTCCGGACTGGAAGGGGGGGAAAGTGTCCGGACTGGAAGGGGGTGAAAGTGTCCGGACTGGAAGGGGCGTGAAAGTGTCCGGACTGGAAGGGGCGTGAAAGTGTCCGGACTGGAAGGGGGTGAAAGTGTCCGGACTGGAAGGGGGTGAAAGTGTCCGGACTGGAAGGGGGTGAAAGCGTCCGGACTGGAAGGGGGGGGAAAGCGTCCGGACTGGAAGGGGGGGAAAGTGTCCGGACTGGAAGGGGTGTGAAAGTGTCCGGACTGGAAGGGGGGGAAAGTGTCCGGACTGGAAGGGGGGGAAAGTGTCCGGACTGGAAGGGGGGAAAGTGTCCGGACTGGAAGGGGGGGAAAGTGTCCGGACTGGAAGGGGGTGAAAGTGTCCGGACTGGAAGGGGGGGAAAGTGTCCGGACTGGAAGGGGGGGAAAGTGTCCGCACTGGAAGGGGGGTGAAAGTTTCCGGACTTGAAGTGGTTAAAGTCCACCAAGCCCAAAACGCCTGAAGCATCCAATGGGCAGATGTTACTTTTTTACTCCCGGCCCTCTATATTGGGAATCCTGTTCATGCCACTTCCACATTTTGGGGTTTTGGAGTATTTTCGGGGATTTGTTGGAATTTCAGCTCCTTCTTCACATGGAAGTGATGCGTTCTTTTGTATGATTGTCTGGAGGTGGAACCGTCCTCTCATCGCACTGTAGGAGGTGACCTCAGATCACCCGTCAGATAATCGCCGGCTCTGCTTTCCCTTCCCACGACGAAGCCTAATGGGACGAGAAGCGTAGAGATTTCGGTGAACATGGAGCAGATCATCTCCTATTGGTGGTCAGGGGTCAATCGACGCTTCTGAAGTCATCTAGAAGGTTGAGCGTTGTGCTGCGTTATATCAACGACCTTCACACAAATCTAATGAGACCCCCTGATGGATCTCTGAGGTCTCTCCCCGGAACCGTCTTCCAGGTCAATGCTGGAACTTCCATCCGAACTCCGGGCAGATATGAAGGACACGTTGAAGCAGCTCTGGATTCATTAAGACATCATTCAATGGATTCTTTTAAAATTGAAGCAGCGTAAGTACCTGAAGTATCAGCCTCGTGAACAGTGGACCTCAGACTGGGGGGGGGGGGGGGAGAAGTACAAGTACAATTAGCCAATCAGTTGCTTTGCAGTGTTCATGGTTCATAAGCGGCATGCTAATAGGAGGAGAGAGCAGAGTGAAGGATAGACACGTTTATCAGTATACTGCTCTTTTACTATCCAATCACAGATTGGGTGAGGGACAAGACCTGTAGGAGTTCAGGGGTGCGCTGTATACAGAGTGCAGGGTTCAGGGGTGCGCTGTATACAGAGTGCAGGGTTCAGGGGTGCGCTGTATACAGAGTGCAGGGTTCAGGGCAGGGGCAGACTGACCATTTGGAAAACTCAGGCGCCGCCCGAGGGCCCGGGGTCAGTAGGGGGCCCCATGAGACCTTTTTCATAGGCTTTTTTGCGTTTGGGCAAGGACACAGGGGCCCCATGATCCCCTATTGCCCGGGGGCCCCATGAGTTGTCAGTCCGCCCCTGGTTTAGGGGTGCGCTGAGAACAAGTGCCGAGGAAGGATACTATTTTGTGCCTCTTACTGGTCGCATGCTGAACTTCTCCATGCTGAGGAAGATTATGCCTTTATTCAGTCCACCCGCTTACTGCACAGCTAGCCGGTAGGAGAGGAGGGGAGCGCTGCGGGGGATCAGAGGAACACGGGGGGGCAGAGGAACACGGGGGGCCAGAAGAGTACGGGGACTGGACGGCTTAAGAATACGGGGCATGAACAGCAGTGACCGCGGTTTGGGGGGGTGGCGTTCACTGGTACCGATCCCTGTATTTTTCCTCCTGCAGCAGCTGAAGGCTGGCGGGAGGAAGAGGAGGAGATGAGGGGTTTCAGCTGCTACAGGAAGATCAGTACTAGCCGTGGTGCCCCTCACAATGCCGCGCCCGAGGCACTTAAATCCCCAGCCTCCCCCCCCCCAGTTCCGGCCCTGATTATAAGTGATACCGAAGGTTCGGTGGGATAGGTAGGATGAGAACCGGTGAAGAGCACAGTCACCGAGACCAAAGAAGTAAAGTTTTGAGCAGGGCGGGGTGGTCAACCGTATCAGAGGCAGCCGAAAGGTCCAGAAGTAGGAGGACAGAACAGCGTCCATTGGTTTTCGCAGTCTTCACACACGCATGACGGCAAATCTGTGCATGTGCAGATCTACTGAAGACCTCTGTTGGGTACTGAAGGCTGGGCAGAGCCCTTCTGGACACATGTGGATTGGGTGTGATCAGTGGCGTCACTAAGGTTGGGGTCACCTGGTGCAGTAAAACATAGTGTAGTGTCACACCCCCACACGCCCCCCATTCAAAAGTGCGACCTATAAGACCCTGGTAGGTCCACCACTGGTACCATAGCTATAAGGAGGTTGGTTGGATAGTTCCTAGTGGCCTTCTCTCTGGTGGTGGTGGCAAGTATTGGCTGCAAGGCCTTCTCACTAGATCCAGCAACACAGCAGCAGTGGTCCCTTTGATCAGGAGTCAACTCCAGTAGGCCGTGTAGCAAGGTCCGTATCCTGGCAGTGGCTCGGCAACATAGTCCGGTCACAAGTGCGACCTATGAGACCCTGGTAGGTCCAACACTGGTACCATAGCTATAAGGTGGTTGGTTGGATAGTTCCTAATGACCTCTTCTCTGGTGGTGGTGGTGGCAAATATTGGCTACAAGGCCTTCTCACTAGATCCAGCAACACAGCAGCAGTGGTCCCTTCGATCAGGAGTCAACTCCAGTAGGCCGTGCAGCAAGGTCCGTATCCTGGCAGAGCTCTGAGGAAGAAGGCATAGCCTTCGAAATGCGTCAACTATACTGAGTGTCTACCCCCATGATGGGATTCGCGCTGGCTTCTTATCTTTGAAGTCCCTTTGAGGACTACATGCCTGATTTTATTCGCTGTTTGTGAGTACCTATCTTTTATTAATAAATTCTGTTACTGAGGTAATGCGCAAGGTTGGTGCGCTTCTTGTTTTTTGTTTCACTTTGCAGTATTGATCGGGCTTCCCCAGCCCTGTTTTGGAGCTGCACAACCTTGAAATATACTAATGGTCCCTTGCTCTGGTGTTGGTTCCATCTATTTGCCACCGGTCTGGGCCCTAGAGCGCAGGAGAAATCGCAGCAGGTCCACCACTGGTACCATGGCTATAAGGAGTTTGGTTGGATAGTTCCTAATGGCCTCCTCTCTGGTGGTGGTGGCAAGTAGTGGCTGCAAGGCCTTCTCACCAGATCCGGAATCACAGCAGCAGTGGTCCCTTTGATCAGGAGTCAACTCCAGTAGGCCGTGCTGCAAGGTCCATATCCTGGATTTTCAGCAGCTCAGTCTCTCTCTGGGGGGGAACTGTACCATACCTTACTCTCACTAGCTCCCCCCAGAAAACTGCAGTGTCCTGGTGAATTTTTTCCCCTGAAAATCTTACCCTCCCCCCTTCTTTAAAATCAGGGTGTGGTTCAGGTCCCATGGACGTCAGTGAACAGTCCACTCCTTGGAACTACATGCCCCATTATGCCCCTCGAGTATTTTCTAATTGGCTTCTTCTCCTGCTTAGCTGTATGGAGGGGGAAGAGAGAGCAGAAATGACACCGAGACTGCTACTGGCAGAAGGAGAGGGAGCGAGCAGACAGACAACCGGGAGCTGCACCTCTCCCATGTCAAAGCCCAGCTGACCTGAGACTCACTGCAGTAGGGGCAGCACAGTGGCTAAGTGGTTAGCACCAGGGGCGGACTGACAAATCATGGGGCCCCCGGGCAATAGGGGATCATGGGGCCCCTGTGTCCTTGCCCAAACTCAAAAAAGCCTATGAAAAAGGTACCAGGGGCATCTCATGGGGCTCCCTACTGACCCCGGGCCCTTGGGCAGTGCCCGAGTTTGCAAATGGTCAGTCCACCCCTGGTTAGCACTTCTTCCTGGCAGCACTGGGGTCGTTGGTTCAAATCCCAACCACGGCACCACCTACCTGGAGTCTGCATGTTCTCCCTGTACCTGCGTAGGCTTCCTCCGGGAACTCCGGTTTCCTCCCACACTCCAAAGACATGCTGGGAGGTGAATTGGCTCCAGTCTAAATTGGCCCTAGTATGTGTATGTATGAATGTGAGTTAGGGACCTTAGACTGTACGCTCCTCGGGGGCGGGGACTGATGTGAAAGCACTGTGTAAATTGACGGCACTATATAAGTACCTATAATAAATAAATAAATAGTAGCCTGCAGGAAAGAGTGTGTGCGTGTGGGGGGAGGGGGGGGGCATAATGCTCAGCAAGTGACACCTCTCTGATGGGTGTACCCCGGCTGCAGTTTTCACCCCCCACAACCCCATAGCAACACCACTGGGTGTGATGTCATTCTCACCTAGGCAGGAAAGGAGGAAGTGCATAGTCCAAAAATGCCCCAAAAAAAAAAAATCCACCTGTGGAAGGAGGGGGCTGGAGACAGATGCAAGCACTGTTTTTTTGGGGGTGAAGGTCCACTTTAAGGGGAATTTTCCACAAAAAAAAAAATACAGCCAACCCATATTTTTACCACCATACCCGCCTCTTTATAGAAACCGCTGAAACCTGTTTTATTCTACTTCACTTTTGCACAAAATTTTCCAACTCTACAGGAACATTTCCCTCCCATGAGTATGGAAAAGTGTGATTTTGGCAAGTAAAGGATAAAATAAAACAGATTTGTAAATAAAATAATAAGGCAAAAAAAAAAAATTGCAAAGAAAAAAATACACAAGTTTGAGAGAGATTCTTACAAGTTCTTACAAACAACGGAAGATGCCGGGTTTCGGGGGAATAAAATTATAAAAATATATATATATATCGACAGTTTGAAAGTCGGTTAAACAGATTTTTCTGGGTTATTTTTAAAATACGACAAGACGTTGCCTTGGCAGCTTTATACATCCATTAAACTGTCAGTTTTATTTATTTAGAAAATTGCAAACTTGTTATTTTTTTTTTATATACATCAATTTTTTTAAATTGAGGACATTTTTTTTTTTTAATTTAAATGTATAAAAAAAATAGGATGTGTCATCTTTAAATATGGTCATCATCTGTAAACATAAATATAAAGATAAAACATTTAATATAATATTATTAAAATTATAATGTGTTGTATGCAAACTTATAGTATATAATTCACATATAAAAAAGGTGCAGCGCTTCTATATTAAAACATGCAAGATATCAAAAATGCAAGAGTATATCCCTGCAAAACGCAGGCAGGGTATAGTTATTATACTGCCCCTTATAGTCTCAAATAACACACAAATATATAGTTCACAATCTCCCAGTGGGTAGGGTGAGGTGAAGGATCAGATGGATCTCTATTGACACACGGTGATAGCCAAAAAGGTGATGTATGGTGATATCCAAAACTGGTAAAAGATTGTGCACTCACCAGATGCACAACCAATATGCGCATGTAAGAGATAACCCCTCTCAAGGTATGGTTCCAGGACTCATCAAAGGCAAGATCTGGTCAATCTCTGCGATGTGGACCCTCAGACATCCAATAGGCTGACGTGTGTCAAGGGCTTGCCTCTTCCTCAGAGCCAGAGGAAGCGGTATCACGCTATTCTGGCCTCCTTGTTTCTTTCTGGGGCTCTCTGGTGAGCTTCCAACCACTTGCAGAGTAAAGAGCTATAGGGGACAGAGCCATGCATGACAGCTGAGGGTCCACATCGCAGAGATTGACCAGATCTTGCCTTTGATGAGTCCTGGAACCATACCTTGAGAGGGGTTATCTCTTACATGCGCATATTGGTTGTGCATCTGGTGAGTGCACAATCTTTTACCAGTTTTGGATATCACCATACATCACCTTTTTGGCTATCACCGTGTGTCAATAGAGATCCATCTGATCCTTCACCTCACCCTACCCACTGGGAGATTGTGAACTATATATTTGTGTGTTATTTGAGACTATAAAGGGCAGTATAATAACTATACCCTGCCTGCGTTTTGCAGGGATATACTCTTGCATTTTTGATATCTTGCATGTTTTAATATATAAGCGCGCTGCACCTTTTTTATATGTGCGTTTTTGGAGGTTTTTTGGTACCTTTTGTGTTCAGCAGCTTCGTTACCTTTAGCGCTCACTTATACCTATTTTTACAGTATAGTATATAATGTCATAGAAAAATATTCAATATTGTTATTATTATATTATTTATTCTATCTAAAATATATATATATACTTACAACTGTGTCAAAAAGTCCCCTATGTGATGCTACTTTGGTGTGACGGGTTCTCTTTAATGAGACATTGGTGTCCCTTAGGCTTCTTGCCTGTCCTCCATTGAAGCTAATGTAGTGCAGATCGTGCTCCATGAGCTTCTTCTCCGGCCGCAGAAGTCAGGGAAACTGACAGCAGCAACCAGAGGTGACATTTCACATATCACTTTCAGGTTCTTGCTAGGCCGGGGAGGTCAGAGAATCAACGGTCACTGCAGGCCTGGACCGGGACAAAAAATGGGTCTAGGCATTTTAGAATGAGCAGTCAATTTTTCTGGGGGGTGGTGTGGGGTGTGGGGGGTGGGGGGTAGGGTTAAGGGCATTTGCAGGGGCGGTTGGTGACTGACAATTCACGGAGTTGGTCCTCCGCACTGTAATGTAATATATAACAGTGCCGCTTTCCAGTGCAGTCCCCTTTATATCACAGTACCTCTTTACATTACAGTGCTCCTAGAAATCTAATCACAGTGCCCCCTATATATTCAGCAAAGAGATGGCGCAATCCAGCAAAGAGGCATCCCAATCCAGTAACGAGACATCCCTATATAGCAAAGAGACATCCCAGTCCAGCAAAGAGACATCCCCATATAGCAAAGAGACAGCCCAATCCAGAAAATAGACAATCCCATATAGAAAAGAAACATCGCAATCCAGCAAAGAGACATCTCTAAATAGTAAAGATACAGCCCAATCCAGCATAGATGGAGCCAAATCCAGCAAAAAGACAGCCCGATCCAGAAAAGAGACATTCCCATCCAGCAAAGAGACAGCCCAGTCCAGCAAAGAGACATTCCAGCCAACAAAGAGACATCTCGTCCAGCAAAGAGACATCCCACCCAGAAAAGAGACATCCCCATCCAGCAAACAGACATCCCCCATATAGCCAAGAGACATCCCAATTCAGCAAAGAGACATCCCCATCCAGCAAAGAGACATCCCAATCCAGAAAAGAGACATCCTAACCAGCAAAGAGACATTTTGTCCAGCAAAGAAACATCCCAATCCAGAAAAGAGACATCCCTATACAGAAAATAGACATCACTATACAGCAAAGAGACATCCTAATCCAGCAAAGAGACATTTCTAAATAGCAAAGATACAGCCCAATCCAGCAAAAAGACATCCCCATTATAGCAAAGAGAAAGCTCAATCCAGCAAAGAGACATCCCTATCCAGCAAACAGACAGCCCAGTCCAGCAAAGCGACATCCCATCCAAAAAAGAGATATTCCATCCAGAAAAGTGACATCCCAATCCAGCAAAGAAACATCCTAACCAGCACAGAGACATCCCAATCAGAAAAGAGACATCCCCATACAGCAAAGAGACATCCTAACCAGCAAAGAGACATCCCGTGCAGCAAAGAGACAGGAAGAGAGTGGGACTGTTTGGCTGTCACAGTGTGTAAAGGAGAAAGGCCACCGTTGTCCTTTAGTGCTGCTGCGTGGGCAGTGCCCGGCCCAGGAGGTGTCTGTGTATCCCCTGTGGTGTGTCCTGCTTGTCACTGGAGCCATCTCTGCCTCTCCTCCTGTCGGCCCTGCTTTAGGCATAGCCACGCAGCAGCATAGTGAGCAGCGGCTGTTGTCTGTGTCAGCCCCGTCCAGACCGCGGTTGCCGCTTACCTCTTGCTGTGTGGCCCGGCCATCAACAGGCCGCTCTTCTTAGGCTTGACATGCCCGGTGTGCCCTATGGCCTGTCCGGACTATTCACTGGTCTCCCTCCCCTCTACCTGGCAGCACCCGTCATGCCAAAATTTATTTCTTCCCTATTAGTTTTCTTTGTTTTTTTTTTATAGGAATCTACAAGATATATTTTATCTTTTTATTTCAAACTTGCAATATTTATACTTTTTGTATTTCTATTGTAGCCACGACGAAGGGGGGGGGGGGGGTGTACAAACCCTTGAGATTCGATGGCTTTCTTTTTTTAACCAGTTACTCCCGGTAGACTGTATGATCACGTGATCATGATCATGGTGTGCCGCCATTACTACTGTCCAAGCCCCCATTAGGGAGTTTCTCCCTCTCTCTGTCCTGGTGACCACTTCCCCCAGGGAAAAAAGTACAAGAAAATTCAACATTTTCAGTTATCACCAGAACAGGAACAGAAGGGAAATCTTCCAGTGGGTACACCCATGTTGTCAGAGCCAGTGCTAGTCTATTTTGGGCCCTAGGCAAGACCAGCTACTTGCACCCCCCTTTTAAAAAACCCCAAAAACTTCATCTGTAGTTCTACCTCACTCCTCGTAGCACATATCCTCTTTCCCCTCAATTTTTCCACCCTAGCACAAATCCCTCTCCCCAATCCCCCCCTGCTGGCATTAATCCCCCCAATTCCACCTCTTACACAAATCCTTCTAGCACAACCCCCCAAATTACCCTTCTCAGCAAAAATCCTCCCCCCCACCCAAATTCCCCCTTTTAGAACAAATCCCCCCCCCAGCACAACTTGTCCCAATCACCCCTTGTAAAACAAATTCCCCCCCAAAAGCCCCCCTCCTAGCACAAATTCCCCCCAATTCCCTCCTCCTAACACAACCCTCCCAATCCTCCCTCCTAGCACAACCCCCCCATTTCCCGCCCC